TTACTGGATAAAAAAACTAAAAATAAACATAAAACAGACTATTATAAACTATATAAAATTTGCAAAGTATTACCGGTCAGCATAAAACATAAGTACTTACTCGCAACTAATAGCCATGGTAATCGAGAGCGTAATTCATTATTGATTAATGTTAGTAATAGTTATAACACCCGAACGATGTCGTCTGGTAAATATGTAGTACCCAGAGTTAATAATGTTTATGGGGACCGAACGCTAGAAAAGCGTATCCCATACGTACTCAATAGCTTACCAGACGACATCAGAGACGAAAATACGAAAAATAAATTTAAGATAAAACTAAAAAAACACCTACTCAGTGCACTGCCTTAACTTTTTATTGTACTATCCTACTTATCCTACTAACTACTACTACTACCTAACTACCGACTACTTTTCTTACTTATGCTATATCTATACTCCGATTATATCTATCTAATATTTGATTTTCATACTTATGTACTTAATATTAACCTGCTAATACTACTTATATAACTTAACATATATAATACTAATATATTAATTTGCGTCCATCGCATTTATTATCAATTTTATTATTATTGTAAACTTAACTTAATAGAACCTATAGTTAGTCCTATTGACTTACTATAGGTTCTATTAAGTTAGTTTTTGAAATCCGATCCAACAGACAAACTGTGTATACAGTTTTGTTGGACATTTTATACTTTTTATAATCTAAAATGTACCTTTTAAGCCATAATAAATAAATAAATAAATAAATAAATAGTGGTACGATTATTTCAAAGAATACCACCAATTTGTAAAATAAGTGGAATTCCTTTCCATAGTACACAAACCTTATTAGATAAATAAACACTAAAATACAAACAGTTTTCTATTTTAAAACAAATTCTAAAATAATATTCAATTTATATCTTTCTTTTCTCATCCAAACTTACAGGTAAACCGAATATTCCTAAAAATATGTCTGCTGTATTTTTAAAGTACTGTCCCACTGTTAATTGGTAATTTATTGCATCAGCTAAGTGCTAACTTGATTTAAATAGTTGTGGGCAAGTGAGCATGGTTCAGTGACAAGCAATGTATCGCGGGTAGACTTGAAGTGTCAAAGTTTTGTTAGTGGTGGCTTCGTGTTGGTAAACTAAAGCAACGCAAACGTTATAACTGTCAAAGTTATTATTAGCCGTCTGTGTTACAGTTTGCGAACGTTTTCGTAGACGGAATGTTACAACGATTTCAATTTATACAATGACAATATATGCTTTTCTATACTAATATTATAATGGGACAAAATTTGTAAGTTCGTATGTAGGGGGTAATCTTTGGAACCGCTGGTCGGATTGACAAAATTCTTTCACTGATAGATAGCTACAATGTTCCTGAGTGCTAATAGGCTATAAAACATCACGCAACGATCAAATGGAGCTAAGCAGCGGGTGAAACCGTGCCAGAGTAGCTAGTATGCTATAAAGGGGTAAAATTTAAATGCGAATGTATGTAGCAATCTATGGAACCGCTGATTGGATTTACGAAATTCTTTCAATGATAGATAGCTATAATTTTTTGAGCACTGTAGGCTATAAGTGATATAATTTGCTGTTGCTATTTTATAAATCTCGTTATACATCACTTTTATAAACACGTGCGACACTTAAATTTTGATAGCTAAGAGGAATGTCATCCATTTTGACTAATTTTGTTTTGGGTTTTAACGAATTTAGATAGCTGTGTTTTGTTGCTGAGTTTTAAATAAATGTAATTGTAAGTTCGTGAATGAATTTTGTTTATTTTTAATATCAACTACCGTCAGGCATATTGTATTGCTAAGTTTGCTGTGTAAGGACAACTGGTCATGAATGTCTGTCTTTAGTTTCTTCTTTTATTACTCAAACCGATTTCAATATTTAGTTTAGAATTCAACAAAAAAATATGAATAGGTCTTATCTTTGATAGAAAATGACTGTGTGATGGCGTAGTTTAATTTACCCCTTAAATTATTTTAAATCTGAACTTCAAAATAAACAATTATATTTTTTTATACTTTGATCATTCATTAACTTTCACGTAAAATTATAATACATATTTCATGTATCTTATTAACACGTTTCACAACGAAAAATATATTATGTAACTTATTTACATCAAAAATGCTATTCATTAGAACATCAGTGCAATTATAAAATAAAATTAATGACGAACCGCTCACGTCTTTAATTAAATTTACAAAGCGTGCTTAAATTGGTGACATGTTTATTTCCTTCGGTGATCATACAAAAGTGACATTATCATTATAACTGACTGACTGTACCTTTGAGTCTTTAATTATCGATTCACAACTAGAAGAGCACTGAGCTATTAAAGTACTTTCCATTTAACAAAGCACTCTTAAGAGTTCAGTACTTTGGTTTAATGAGTATTTAAGTAAAAGTAAACGAGTGTTTATCGGGCTTTGCATAAAGTTACCGTAACTGCTATATTATGCAGTTAATATAATTATATTTTTTAGTTAGTTTAGTTAGTTTAGTTTAAAGTTTACGACAGAAAAACGCTCTTAAAAAACTTTAATGACACATTAATCAGACGCTTTTAATTAATTTTGTCGTGACTTCATTGATTTTCGTTTATACTTAATAAAAAAAAAATAGTATAAAACTTATTGCACGCTGGGACTTACGGCCGATTGCTGGCTCAGTCGACTGCGACGCGCACGCCGCTCATAAATAAGAGTCCCGTTGTGACTTCAAACTAGTATAGCTATTTTAAATTTTCAGTTAACATACGTGACTGGGCCATTATTTTTTGAAATAAAGTCCTCACAATTTTTACTAAGCAAAAATTATTTTAAATATAAAAGAGATACATCGAAAACCAACAGTTTAAACTTCTACACTTTTAAATATATCTTAAGCCAACAACAATTTCTTTAGAAAATACTTGTACAACGTAACAGAAATGTGGCTGTACGCTGTAGGTCCCGACTCCCGTCAGTCGTTTGCGTCCAACCATTCCGCCCATCTGTTTGTATGTCTTGAGAATGACAAAAATAAAACGAAGAGGGGTTTGGGAACATTATCGAAGTGGATCGGCGGGGTGGCTTTCAGCTAAAGTCCCTAAGGATCGCGCCGAGTGTATTCCATCCAGCGGTTGGAACTGTCGCTGGCCGTAGCTACTTGCTAAAATATCGAGGCCCCCACGATTAAACCGCAACCATTTTTCTTGATATGTAAGTTCTTACTCGTGACTTACTTTACCTTTGTGGTTTAAGCGTAAAGAAAATCGAGATGTCACGTCGTAAATGGTAAGGGTAATATATTATGTACCATGTCGTAATTACTATAGCAGATTACAAATACATTAATTAATTAGAATTTCTTATATTGCGTAGCAAATAATGAGATAATCGTCTTATCTACTAAGAAACAAGAGTTTAGCAAATAATAATTTTCTGATACCAACAAGCACAACACGACATAATTTTATAAGCATAATTTGACAAGGGAAACATTATATAAATGTAGCCAGCCTCGGTTTTGGGTTTAACGCCTACTAACACCAAAATTCCATTTAGCTGCTAGGTGGATTGAATGCTATAAAGAATTTACAGTAGCCCTTTGACCCGGCGCATTAACGGACGTGAAACGACAGCATTAGCCAGTTGACAGATGTTGGCACCGAAATATTTCGAAGGGATCGGCAAGACCACTTGCATTTATACCCCTGGGGTAACGAAATGTTTCCGCAATCAAATGATACTTTTTACCCTTGGCGAACACTTTGGGATATAATTTGGTTGTAATATGTGTGACAGAGTATAGGGGTTCTTGTAATGTAGCCTTTTAAAACCAATCATGTTATGTGTAACATCTTTAGATTGGAAATTAATTCTGCCAAAATTTCACTAACACTATTAACATTGTAATGAAAGGGACGTCGACTTTCATACCACGGATTGTGAAAAGAAAAAATATCATAGAAAGAATACTCTCTCTAGAACACAAACTACATATAATGCAGTAGAGACATGAGACCGTCTGTTTCAAATGAGGGCCAATTACTTAAAGCAAAGCGGACACTGGAAAAGTCTGAGTCTTTATTTCATAGGAAAGTTTATGAAATAGTTCTAAATTGCGTTCAGTTAATTTAGTACAATGAGGATAATAGTATTATAATGAGGCTGTATAATTAATTTAATAGTCTGAGCTTCTTCTTGTCGGTGGTATCAAATGACTGGATATTTGAAATGAGTCAATCATATTTTATAATTTTGCCATTAAGTCAAATTTGTTAGTGCTCTTCTTAAAGTTGTTTAAAATAGAACTCGAAAATGCTTATTAATTTGCTATCGCCACTAGAAATGAATCTACGCATTGCTAAAGAATAAGAATTTACAATTGTTTTAAAGTTTCGAAGCTCAACTTTATATATTATAAAATTAATTGTTTTTTACTTATCCTTCCTTATTCGTAAAAATAATTTACGATGCAATTTTAGTCAAGAAAAGAAGAATGACTTTTTGCAATAATATTCCACTATTTGCAATCAAGGCTTTATATTATATTAAAATAAATGCCAAAGTTAGTAATATTGAAAATTCTTTATTCAAGTTAGCGTGGCGTAGCGAGTGCGCTAAAATTTTCTTAATTAGAAAGACATGGTAGATAGCAAAAATTCTTCTTCGTTGATCTAATTAAAAATTTTCATTTTAAAAGGAAGGAATTTGATATTATGCGGCATAATTAACGAATACCTAATATCGAAAGACTAGGTAGTGGCACTAATTAGATATAATTATCTAGAAAGAAAATGAAATATCTTCACCAGACTACATATTTTGAGAATCCTTTTGAATAGTGATATCCTAATTTAATTCTAGTCGCTTACAAGCAATATTGAACTTAGGGCATTTTACCCGGTTGTTTAATGTAGTTGTATATCGTATCATGCGCTAAATTAGTCAATATCGATTATTAACAATTTATTCTTTTTTTCCAACAGGCAGTATGGGGAGATTGGCGCCACTGGTGATACGGTTGGCCACCGTGTCACTAGTGGCGTTTGTCCTAGCCGAGCCTGGCAATGGCGGCGACCAGTCGGTGGCGAGAGTGGACCGGGACACTGCGCTGCCAGCGCCCGGTACTGCTCCGCCGCCGCCTCGCCGCGCCGGTAAACGTGAACGCAACCGAAAACGAACCACTACGACGACGACCACGACAGTAGATCCCGACAGCAATGATGTCGGGAACGTACCCACTACTGTCACCACGACGACCACTGCTGACCCAAGGGCTCTCGATCACAGTAAGTACTCGCCTCGTGCTAAGAATAATACCCGTGTGAATTAACATATTGCATGACAATACAACACTAAAACTCGACCACGACAGCTGACAATCACATCATTCAGCACAAAAGTAAGTAACTCATTTTGGGGCTGAAGCTTCTGGTGTGTCGACTGTGTTTGTGTGGAGCTGCTTGCAACCACCTCGCTTCACTCGCGCTGATTCAGCTACAGATGCTTCCACTGTTTGATATCAATCACAATTGCGAAGACAATGGGTTTGGCACACAATTTCTCGATGATGGCGTAACAACAACTGTAAGTATTAAATTTAAGTCAACGTGGAGCATTGGCGCTGGTCCTGCCGAACGAGTTAATCAGAGCCCCGGTGATTGCAGTCGTGGTATGAAATAAAGAAAGGTAAAATGTTGGGCAAAATTGTGTGGAATGAAAGCTGAGAGACTGCCACACATATTTTGAAATCCCACTTTTTCCACAGTAAGTAATTTACTTTTAGGCTTGAAGCGTCAGCGTGCGACTGCGCCGGCGCCGCCCGGGCCGCAGCGCCGCTGGCCGGGGAAGCAGCACAAACGACGACGCCGCCGCACCACGACAACGACGACTACCACTGAATCGGATGAGACGGAACCTACTACAACTCTGCAGACGACCACGATAGACCCTCGGAGTATCGACCACAGTAAGTGCTTAAGTACAGCTGCTAAAAACAAAATACGGAGCTCTGGCAGCCACGCCTTTGACTACTGACGATCCGGCCTAATTTGAACAGTAAGCAAAATTCAAAATTTATGCTACATGCTGTAGCAGTGGTAGTCACAGACGTAGTTAGTTTCAGACTGTCCGTCTGTTACTCGCGTCATCACATCCACCTTTCACCATCAGCTGTCATTGTAAACTATCATCTCACGCGATTGTTCATACATGACCCAATATCGAGTCATTTTTGGTAGGTATAGCTGACTTATTACCGCGTGTGTTGCTTTTTGATTTTGACTGAGTAGGAAACGTGTTTATATAGTTAGAAGTGTGAGTGTGTTGGCTTTTCATTGCATCGATTTAAACGCTGTTTTGGTTTGATATTTCATTTCGACGTGTGTGTTATCATAAAGCAAAACAGTTATCATCACTAAAAATATACGACAAGCAATGACAAGCAATCAAACAATATTGCCTGTTTATCTTCCTCACGAAATTAACCAAAAAATACGTATACCTGGTCCCTATATAGGTCAGGGCCGCAGGAGATAAATCATAGAATAATTAGACGCTCGTTAGGCCGCACGTGACGGTTCATTAAATGATTAGCCACAGGACGCGTCATGGCAAATATTATGAGAGATTTTCCCCTTTGGGCATTATGGTGATGTATTATGAGCGCCTTTATAAGATATTATACAATAGGTAGAATTTATTATCTGCAATCCAGATCCAGATTAAAAAATACTATACATTTTTTATGAGAAAGGTAAATACTACTTATATAGATACACTATCGAAACCTAAACTAAATAACTATGCAAGTCAAATAACAAATGAAAATAAAATTTTATTTTAACTAAATAGTTGTACAGGGACCCGTATATTACGCCACACATTAGCGCGTGTTCATTTTAATGTCACGCATTAACAAACATACCGAGTATACGGACAACTTTAACTGATCTTGAAAACTCCTTAAGTGTGCGCTATAGCCATCTTAAGTCGCATAGTTTAACGAGGGCCGGAGTCCAAGGGCCCGAGGAATTCCGCCATCGGAGACGTGGGTACATCCAAATAGCTTGTCTCTAAACAACGGAGGGACGTAATTTGTGAGTTACTCCTTTACTGTTACACTCGGGCCCGGTCATCGGAGGAATGTGCGCAGTTAGCGCGGTATGTCAACCCCTCCCAGCACTTTAATTTTCAAAAAGTGCCTCTACGTGTAGTTATTTCAGGGAATTTATTTCACTTACACTATATAGCACACGATTTAAATTACTGCTACGTGCTTCCCGCATCCGAAGTTCTACATCCCGCATTTAAACCCAATCAATTTTAACCGTGGGATTTCTGAAAATAATAAAATATGTATGTGGAACACCACACATTTTCTAACACTCCAAATTTCCGTCCCCGAGAATTTTTCCACCAATCAATCTTGTAGTGGTCACTGGTAAACCACATATTGGCGTGTGGCCATACTTTCTCTTGCCAAAGCTTTATACAAAATCAAACGATTATTTCAAGTAAATTCAAGCGCTGCTATGAATGAAATAAAATATCGAATCCTTCCCTGAATGTTTATAAACTTAAGGTGATTCCTATAAACTGAGCATAAATAAACTTTCTACATTTTCAAATAGAAATTGAAAGCTTGGGAGCGAGGTGCAGCGAGAACCAGTCGGGAAAAACTCTAAGCTTGAGGCAAGAAAACATTTTGTTCTACAGTTGAGAACGAAAGTAAAAACAGTACAGATCAGGTTACGCTGGTGAGTCCTGTCACCCTGCGGGAGGTGTGGGGAGTCATTTCACGCCTCTTGAGCGCGCATCAAACCAATATTAGGTTTATTAGATAGATGGGCCATCGTGAGAAGCGATTTTTCATTTTTTGCCATTCATTATTATCGCCTCTCAAGTCAGTATTCAAATAAAACTACATTTGCATGTTAGCACTTCGTAAAACCCAACAAGCTTTATAAGTATTAAAGATGTGTTTTCTTTTTCAAAGTTACCTTGACAATTTTTCTGCACAAACATCGAACAATTGGAACTAGCTGTGTATAACAAAGTTGTGCTCTGTCAACCAGAACCATTACTGTAGTCCAAAAGCCTCGCTCTTTTTGTAATAATATTTTATAGTAATTAGTATTACGATACTTGATTCAAATAAAAAATCAAGGCGAGCTACATTTGTAAATAAATTGACTGACACATGAATCGAGTTAGCCAAAAGTATTAGACTAATATTTATGTTAGCTAGAGCACTCTATCAAAATACATCGATCATATAAACAACACATTCAACAAGATAATGTTTCGCAAATGTTTAGACTGCACGGTAGAATTGTGAATTTATGCCAGTCCACAAACTTAACAAGGAAGTATTATTTGAATTACTCGTCGCCATCATTTTATATGATGTGGAACACTTGGCCCGATGCCATTCATGCTGAGAAAATCATATTCCTTCTTCTAATGGTCGTAGTTCCCTTATTGTTACAAAAAGTACTATATCTGAGCGAAATAAAGTTATTGATATTATTGTAAAAGTCACATTAATTCTGAAATTTTAATTCTCATACACACACAACTACGTTTTTTAAATATATATACAAAAAATGTCTAAGGTCATTGAACTTCACCTCCAAATAATTAACTAAACCATTGTCCACAATCTACCTTTGGCTAAATTGCTACGCACTACGGCATACGTAGCAATTACTACGAAAGTTTGCAGTTCGTAGACCACCGCTACGAAATATGAGAACGAAAAAAAGTTTTCATAACGTATTTTTTTTTTACTTTGATATCGTACTCATATATTTTTACCTTCGCTTTGATTTTGTTTAATCCAATTGCAATATTTCGTTTTAATCCACTTTGCTTACATTGCGAGAATTCAATAAAATCCAATTTTGTTTACCAGTGCCTACGGCAAGTTTTCCTAAAATATTACCTCTAACTGAAGTTATATCTTAACATGAACTGAAGGGTTCTTGTTTCTAACATGATTTTTATGTTTTTTTGAGGATAACGGCGGTAGCGTGTTGGGCAACTGGCGTGAAATAAGGGACCAGCCTCTTTCACGCTTTAGTACGGCATCTTACATGATGTAGTGTGTCAAACTATGGTGCATGCTTGAGAATGGGTTAACTTGCTTACAATATTGTATCTTCACAAAGTATTTTATTATGATCTATATTCGGGTTTCAATAATGATTTTAAAGCGTCCACACAGTTCACACACCATGATGTATGAAGCAATTTCAGAAAATAATTCTTTCAAAAGAATTAAGTAGTACAACCTGAAACAAACTGAACGCAAACTACGAAATCGACATTTACAAATCAAACTTCAGTGAGGAAACACTAGAGGAAAAAGTTTGTGGATACTAGTCGGTTACAACCGCTTCAAACCGGCTCAACAAAGAGCTGAAATTAAATTTACGTGGCGCAAAGAAAAAACTAGTTACAAGAGGAAATTGGCGGAGACAGTGACAAATTGTTCCCGCAAGAGAACATTATTCCTCTCCTTTTCTGACACACGTGACTTTAAATTTTCCATCCCTCTCTCACCATATGAACATGCGGCGCCGTAACATGAATGTACCGGAATAATTGTGGCCTTTTTTGGTAAATACACATTGTGAACGTGGTCTTAGCATCCGATTTTAAACTGCAATTTTGAAAGTTCCTACCTTTTAATGGCCGGCAATAAAAATGTACGTGGACATTAAAACAGCAGCCTGTTTAATGCCAGCAAAAAGTATGTCACATAAAGGTCGTATTCTCCATGGGAATACTTTTAGACTTTTTCATGATAAATATTTTATTAGGTACATGTAAAATATTAATGCGCAAAGCGAAGTACACCTAATAGAATCATATAATTGAATTAATTTAAATTAACCAGAACAGTGTAAAAAAATGCTGTGAACCTGTTTTCATTGAAATGTACTTATTACAGTCATATAATACTTACGTGAACATAACAAAAGACGTCTGACGACACCTCTTATTTTCATGTAACACATTCATTAACCTCCACGCATATATACTTACTTTCCTATTTAGCCTCATTGCATAACTCTTTCCTAGACTAATTATTTTCGAGTGATGTGAGATGTGATGTAGAATCATCCTTTATAACAATACAATTAAAATGTTTTTTTCAAAAAAAACTTTCTTCAGTAAACATCGATAGTCACGATAATAATTATTCTCATAATATTGTAATATTATCATGTTTGTATTGTTTTCTTGAACGTTATGGCCAGTAACACGTCAGTACTCGTACTTTTATCAAGTAAAAACAAGTACAGCAGTCGCTCAAATTATTGCGTGTTGCCGGTTGAAAATGGAACTGTCTGGAACATTCTAGTTCATGGTAGGTTATGTCCTAACCGCTATTTATGGCTGTCGTGTTTTTATGGTGGTTTGAAAGTATTTCCAAGCCGGTTAGTGGCTTAGTCATAAATAATGACCACTGTGAAAGACACAGTACTAAAGCTTTCTTTGGAAAAAAGAAATTTCTTAAAATATAGATAAGAATCTATTACAAGAACGAGAATTCACAAGAATATTGGACAAAAGTAAATGAAAGATAGGGATATAATATGTTGTTTTTTATAAATTTAATTCTAAAAACTATTAACTTTGTAATACAAATATCTTATGGAGAAAAATAAACTTAATGAAAATAAAGTCATATTTGAAATTCAATGCACCTTCACGTGATTGGATTAGCTTCAAAAATGCATTGACTCCTCTGAACTCGACTAGAATTTTTATACGCTAACAAAAGGAACAATGTAATTCTTCCATCCCTTATTACTTACTTCTAGGAGTCCACGTTATCGGTACTCAAATTGAAATGGAAAGAAAATGAGTTTCTTTTTATATGGACATTATTCTATGAATATAAGAAAATTAAATTTCATAACATTAGCATTATTTATAATAGTTATTTTGTATCTAAAAATAATATATAACATATGTTTAATAATGTATAGTTGCGAAGTTGTAGTAAAAGAAAATTGGAGTAATAAAATGGTAGTTAGGGTTTGAGCTGAACCAATTTCGCTCGCGCACTTGTAATTACGTTTTCAATTATCTCATTGGCTTATCGAAGAATCACATAAAGCAATAAAATAATAATACAAAGTAGTTTATATTATTATTTATTTACATTTACATTCAAAATTTGGAACACCGTTATGCAATGATAACATTGTTGCCATATTGCAACACAGGCTGACGTCAAGCGCGAAGCGTCTTGCCGTTACATCTCCCCGACATACGAATTTCTTATTATATTTTGTCATATTTCAAAGAGGTGTCCCATTTGTGTAAGAGGCTTTATTGTGTTCTCACTGTGTTTATTTTTCCTTAAGCATATTTCGACGTTAAATACTCATGACATAATAGAATCTTTGCTGAAGATATATACGCGTAAGGTATACGCGTAGGTTGCGAAGTGAGGTGACATACTACCTTTCTAAATTAAATGGCTTAATACCACTAAATAAGGTAAACGGTGTTGGTTTAGCTTTGGTACACCCAATCTTGTGGAATTAGGTTGACAGTTCGGCTCATCAGGTCTCTAATCATTGCTCGCTCTGCAAGCCACCGCATTACCTGCAACCAGAGAGGTAATCTAAGTCAATTGCACTGAGCAACGCTATTTACTGAACGTCGGCGCGTGACGATGACGACGTCAAATTATTGAACTGCAATTCAATTATAATATGGTGGTTGGTCTTAGATTGATTTTCAATAAACTATTTAATTCATCCAGGGTGTTTGGCTCGAAATGGAAGGCTCATAAGTTTTTCCGGGTATACTGAAGCTTAATTCGAGTCTTAACAACTAAACCAGAGGTCAATCTACTTGTCCATATCGACAAAATACATGATTACACTTGGAATAATTTATTATCCACAATTGACAATAATGTGGCCATAGACGGCAACAAAGACATTATGACCGTCACAGCCATCTCATAAAATATTAGTAGTGTAAAGTGGAATGCCTACGATTCATGCCCACATTATTCCGGTCTATTGGAGCGCCCACAAACCGCTTCCCAACAGCTTATAAAGAAATCAAACGCGTTGAGAAAGCTTACAAAAATATTTCCCGCAAATTATATTTTAGGATTTTTTACAGACCAACATTTTGTTTACTAAGATTCTAAAATTTTAATTCAAGAAAACTTTATGAATAAGTCTGATGCTGGATGCTTACACAAAATGACAACCACAAAAAGAACGTTAAAACTATTTTAATTTACGCCAATTGCGAAACCGAGTTCATTCCAGTTTTGCTTTACATCACATCGAATTAAACGAGAAACTTCTTCGTTCAAATGAAAGTCGAATAAAAATCTAAAACAAAAGATAGCTACAACAAGAATATAAAATCAATGGAAAAGTCCAGACAAGTTTGGATGTCGCTCCGTTTTTCCAACTTTGAAAAGGCTCTTGGGTGAAAAGAAAATTGGAACAAGTTCATTTTCTTTGGATTTGACCTTGTAGAAAAGGTACATCTAACAAATTTTTTTTGCATTTTAAGTAAATACACTACTTATTTATAGTTTCTTTTATCGTTATATTTCATAAAAATAGTTTTTTTATAAATTTTAGGTAGGCAAACCAGTAGACGAATAATGGTTACCTTCTTAACAAAGTACAAATTTAATCACAAATATATAAAATTCGTGTCATTTTTATTGACAAATAAAATATTATAAATTAATTCTTAAGCCTTTAACTCATATCGCTACTAAGCAACGAGAAGTTTCGATTGGAAATTTGCAGCAACTCGGAGTTTGTGATTATTCCCTGTTATGGCAATAAGCTTATAAACTGGTCGTTACATGAACTTAATATTGCCGGCGTCTTCATACTAACTCTTCAAAGAATGCGGGGGGATATTTTTAATCTCATCATAAAGGAAATTCGCTACGGATTAGAGTTAGATATAAAAATAAAATATTCATTACCCATTAGAATACGGCGTAGGAGTCAATCTTGAAGGCGTCGCCACTGAAGTACGTAAGCAGCGGATTTCGTGAACATAAATAGTCCAATCTAATCCCACATATTAATTTGGCTAGCAAATAATGTCCTGGTTAATGTATTTGGGAATACTTTCTCTTTCTACATCGCATGTAGTGGTATTGCCTACATAACTCGATATTAACGGTAACTATTAAGTTTAATTTCACACCGTCAACTCAACAATGCAGACGGGAAGGCGTATACAAAACAATTACAGTCCCTGTGGAGGGTAGTTACGATTCTCTTTCAAAGTTTGTCTGTTGGCCTCAGGTAACGTGACTCTTTGACAATGAATTACACTAAAGTTTATATGTTTTAGGGCGCTTTGGTAATAGCTGCTCTGCCGGGGGAGTAATTAATTTGTTTTATTATTTTATTTTACTATACTGCTATTTGCTATCATCCATGTGCAGTAGATCTTTCAGCTAAAGCTTGCCATTGTTTTTATATTACTTTACGTTCATCGCGCTTGCAGTGTTGCACATCGTATTCATTAAACACAAAGACAGAACTAAATACTGTAATAATGAATTTGGTTACAACGTCAAAAGAAAAACACGTAAAATTTATTCCAATGTCTTTAGAAGAAATATATATGTTCGACACACTGTTCATAATTTTCGGAGAAACATAAGACTTAACTTGTCAGTTGCATACATAATGTGCCCTTCACTGCACAATATGAAATAAAACATGAAGACAGGTAGCTCATAACAGGAGATGTAAACACATATCCCTACCGACGTAAATGATCTCTTGACCTAAATTCATTCATTAGAAGCGAAATGTTTCTAAGAATAATATATTAAACGGAATTATTTAATAAGGAAACTTGAATAAAAATGGAATTGAGGAAGTATGAGACTGGAAATTGTACTTTCACTTATTTCTTATTACCGTGTTCGTTTGAACTAGATTCTTCCGGTGTCCTCGTCTTAAAAATAAGTACAGATTAATTTTATTTAATGATTTGTGAGTAATATTCATAGAGATATTCTGTATATGTGTCTGATACACACGCACTGAATGTTGTCAAGGAGTAACAGGTGTTATGTTATATTATAATAAGATCCATTGTGCTTTCAAAGTTTTATAGGCAAGTATATTGAGTATGGCCGCTCCACTCCGGTTTACAGCGCACGACACACTGCTGTTTGCCAAGACGGGGTAATGAACCCAGCTACATGTCTGTCAGGGTCCCAGCACTCGGTGCCACATCATTAATTTCTACCTAATGTCTGAAACGCCGAGACGTTACCTACCACATTTTGTGTTCACATACATGAATGTAAAATTTCTAGATGAACTTATTAACGTTAGGAACTTTTAAAATTTAGAACTTTGTCACTATCTTTGAAATATCCAAATAACAGTTTTCATATGTTACTTTGCTTGGTCAAATCTGAACTGTGTTTCCTACAAACGTTTCTTTTAGGCGTCACAGCGATAGAACTAGGACTGCCAAAATATAAAATTCTTTAATGGTTTCTTTTATTACATTTGTAATTGAACAAATCTGAATGTACGAATAATCTCTTACACGTGGAAATAATTAACCTCAAATAGCTACACGTGTTTAAGAAATATTTAGAGGCACTTTGTCCTTTTTCTTTTCAATAAATTGAAATGGAATTTACCATAATATTTATTCATTAGTAGTATTTATTTGGGAACAAAAACAGCTTATTTTTGATCTAATTTGACCAGCATGTTTCATATAATATTGAACTTTAATGGGGTGAATAGTGCAATGTTTAGAAGTGAAAATGATATCATTTTTGCGTCTGCGTTCTTCAATTGTAAATCTAGTTGGTTATCCGTTTGGTTACTTCAGAAAAAAACATTCATCTGAATACTTCGACTTGATTCTTATCAGCTATTATATGTGTCTGGTTTATACAAGTTGATATAATTTTAGACATCGGATGCTCTCAAAAAAGCTCTCAGTTTTTAGTCAGTAAGAGTCTGACACTCCCTGTCGGGTGGGAGTAGACATTAAAAATAACAATTAAAAAAAAACTGATATTTTACTAGAATCAAGTCCACAGTGCAAGCACTTAGTCAATAAACATAAATTATAAAACTTATTAAAAATAAAGCATCTATTATTACAAGAACAGTGGCGTTTCCATTATCTCTATGTGTTTGGTAACAAAGCTACAGCGCCTACGTTTATTTTACACCTTAAACAACAAACCACGCTGCGAGGCCCTTCCAGAGGTTTCAAACAATGTCTCCTAATTATCTATAACGTACTTAAACACAGTTAAGATTAACATAAGCTTTGTATTCCAAGACTTAACAGTGTCACATCATTAGCGAGTTTACAAGATCGGAAAACTATACAGAATTCTGTTCATTAAAAGTTTACTTAGTATCGTTAATTTCACATCTTGCCTTTGTCATAAAAGGTTTTAACTTTGAACTGTTTATGTGTAGATACCTATTTCGAGATTCATGTTAATGTGCTCGTATAAATAAATGAGGTCAAACTATAGATGACTAGCTCTTACCCGCGGCGTCGCTTCCGTCATTTGACTACCCACCCTACTTTACCTACCCTACTATACCTACCCTACTTTACCTACACTACTCTACCTACCCTACTCTTCCTACCCCACTCTACCTACCCTACTCTACATACCCTACTCTACCTACACTACTCGACCTACCCTACTCTACCTAACCTACTCTACCTACCCTTCCTACCCTACTCTACCTACCCTACTCTACATACCCTACTTTACCTACACTACTCTACCTACCCCCCTCTACCTAACCTACTCTACCTACTCTATCCTATCCTATGTCCTTTTCCTGGCTCTAAACTACCTCCCTGCCCATTTTCAGCTAAATCGGTTCAGCCGTTCTTGCGTTATAAGTGGAGTAACTAACACGACTTTCTTTTATAATATAAGTATATAGATTTAAACTACTGGACTAGATCACGCCATTTTTCTCTGCGTTGACATAACAACTCGGTTACATGATACCTTTTATAGAACACTAATGCTCACGTAAGACTGAGACAATACAATGTGACCTCACTGTAAACCTTGAAACAACAAACAATACATGCATTACTCTAGGAGAAAAGCTATACAAAAGCAAAGTGTTGAAGCCAACCGAAGGTATCACTTAAACCTATATTACAGGATGAATGACATGCTTTCAAACACTACATTCTTCTGAATAGCCTTAGGTGATAATAACATAAGATTTTCAACAATAGGTGACCTCGTATCCCTCACTTATGGCTTCTTTAAAAGCTACTCTCTCAAGTCGACCTAGAATGCCAGACCAATCGACAGTTACTCCGTTTATTGTATTAAACTAAGGAATAAACACAAGAAATGTCTGCCGCATAATTTGATAAATTCCTTTAGCAAACACTTTCATTAAAGTGGCTCGTTAAAATGAGAGAAACTTTAGTTTCTTTAATTCCAACATGAATTATTTATGTAGGTGGGTCCGGCGATTATACGTTTCGCAGCAAGCCGCGAATATTAATAACGACACTTTGTTTGGCGCATTTTGTTGGCAATTCAGACCAAAAAAGCACTGGTTATTTAACTTACAAGTAGACCTTGTAAATAAAATTAAGCCAGAAGTTATATTTTACACAAATAAAATTAACAAGATTGGTACTGTCTCCAGTCTTGACAATACCTCCGGGTTGAGTTCCTCGCAAAAACAAACGATGCCAACGTACAGAACGTTAGTACAGTCATAATATTCATATTTCAAACGAAACGAATACGAACGAAAGCGTAGCCAACATTATCTCATAACATCGACTAGATAATGCAGCTGTTCATAAAATATGTAGTTATCATAATAAATAGACAGGTTTATGTATCGTACACACGCGTTCTGCCGCACACATATATCCTACTTCCCTATTCGTACGGCTGCTCCATATGAGTCTCTAGCTAATGTTCAAAATAAGGTCCCACCCACATTTTTATTTGGCAGCGCAACACGTACGAGGTACGGACGTCGTTCCGCTACCTACTGCGGTTCCGATGCGGTACCGACGGAAAATTTATGTACCACTGAGCGTGCAAGTCTAGTCTCCTTACCGAGATACCCCATGTGAAACATTACCCGCGCGGAATTTCAGCAAAACGCGCTCTCGACTGCGGCCCACACAGCGAGAAGTTGAACCGAGGCTCGAACACATGCCGCTTTGTAAGCGAAATGACTGCGAATAAACAAAAATCTTGATATACTTATAATAGGCATAGGGTCCTCGGGAAGGCCACCCTGCTCAAATATTAAGTTTGTTAAGAATTTTAAATGAAGAGCATTAGGCGCGGCGTCATTGCAGAATTAAATATTAATAACGCTATTCGAGTGAATTTGGTGGGAGGCTAAAAACAATGAATTTTTAATAGTTATTCTCCTTTGCGACGGGCAATTAATGTAATGAGGTAGTAAGTTTAGTTTACCCTCAGGGAGGGGCTGTGAACTGGAGTTAATTCTGAACTGGATTTGCTGATACTTGCTATTCATAAACTTTATTATTAATGTTCAATTCTGTTCTTATTGAACAATGTCTTAGTAATTATTAAATTAAAACTAGTAGCGTTGTTTCCTAAGAATGACCGCAAAGTATCCCCTTGTGAAGATGTCGTTAGTTTTGACAAGTATTATCGTGTAATAATTAAAAGCACCTTGCGACGGCCTGCCTCATTTGTCTTTTTAATAAATTGTTGGTTTTACTCACACCAGTTCCTCGTAATTTGTTCCTCTGTAATTTATCACGTGTCCTCGCGATTCTCTGGATTAGGTGCACATCCCTCACACGCCTGTTTGTCAGATTAAGGCGGAACGCATACGTCCTTAATAATCTTACTGGTTGGAATATTGTTTTCGGAACTGGCAAGCTTTAGTGCTATGCTAAGCACTCTTGTTGCTTTGTATACTTTGGCAAATACAGTAGGACTCGTATGTACTTAACTTAAAACAGAAAGGGCATAACATTTTGTAATAATTTCTATATGTTTAGTATTATAAAACATCCTGAGTGGATTAATTTTCTAACTTTTAAGTATGCCCTACTTGTTTGAAATGTATTTATTGAGACTATTAGCAACAATTATTATGCCAATATATAGAAGGCTTTATGAAAATACGAAGAAAAATTATAGCTACGTTAATATTACCTCAGCTAACTCTAACCTAAATTCCATTTTTTCTCAAAATAAATATGCACATACAATATACTCTGGAGACGAAAACAGTAAAGGAAAACACATATATACAAATTGGGGAGTAGCAAATAACCAGGTTATCTATATATGAGAGGGATTAGAATGTTTCCTAACACGGCACTCATTTTCATGCCTAAATTATTATTTAAGAAAAACAACCCAAGTTCCATATCCATACAAAATAGATCAAATATTGGGTCAATACCTTAATCATTGTTCAGTAATTAAATAAGCCTATCACTTCTTGAATATGACTGCACGGTTGGTGCGGTGGCTGGGCAACTGGATGCCGTACAACGTGTCGCGAGTTCGATTCCCGCACGGAACAACTCTTTGTGTGATCCACAAATTGTTGTTCCGGGTCTGGGTGTCATGTGTATGTGAAATTCTATGTTTGTAACCGCACCCACGACACAGGAGAAAATCCTAATGTGGGGAAATGTTTTTTAAAAAAAAAAAAGAAAAGAACATATAAAATAGATTGACCAGGTTTACGGAAGCCATGTCTATTAAGACGCCAATTTTAAACAAACTGATAGAAGCAGAATTTATTTTTATTTAATTCTTAAACTTTGAACTCAGTACTGAAACAAAGTCGATTTCCATTTCGTCAGAAGATTTTATAATGGAACATAAACAAGTCGTTATTTTTTAACAATCCCTCATACAATTTGCCAAGGGACATGGGGGAGAGGTAGCAATAATAAATACATAATATACCAACGTATATAGATATGTATTATTTTATTAAATCACGTTTTTGTTCAGCTGTACGTCCGTGAAACTGAATTTGATTTAGACCGTCCGAGCTTCATTTGTTTTTAAAAATAGAAATGCAAAATATAAAATTGAACGAAAATCATTTCATATTTTGGTATAATGTTTTTTTTATTACATAAGTACCTATTCCCTAAATGTATCTACAAATTTCGTCTTTTTATGAGCGTCGTATATTAAACTTTTCAACACACATAACAAACTACTGTCTCCATTAGAGTCGTATTCTCATTTTATGCAGCATGTTTAATTTTATATTTACTCTAGAAACTTTTTCATTTTCATATCACTTTTATAACTTAATAAGTACAACCCAAATTACATTGTATTATTAATCAACATAATATTCTTTCAACTTATAATATAATTGGTTTAAGAAAAGAACATCGAAAACGCATTAACGAATATAACAGCAAATATCCCCAGGCTTCGTTTGTTATAAATAAATATAAACAAAACAAAAGCCTTAGTAACAAACTGTTCTTACGAGGGAAGATCTGAAACCCTTGGGGTTATACATATATGAACCGGGTGATGGGGATCCGAGCACCCCATAGGTTATTCCACCCTTAGGGTTGCGGAGATCGAAGCTTTTATCCGTACAAATCCTAAAATCATACATGTATAACGCTAGTACAATGGTCGTTAGCAAACATTGTTATTCACGACTATAACATATACCAAATATAAAAAAGTTGTAGTGGAAAATTGTTTCGAATATCCTATTTTATTTATGAGCACGCTCTATATAAATAATTCGTTTATTTATATTAATTTTGTATCCCAAAGACATAACTTACAATCCTCCATTCATTAGTTCCGATAGCATACCTCAAGCAGCACCAGTGGCAGTAACCAGTGGTGCTGTCGTCCATCGTCTTGTTTACAGCCTAGTAAAATAAAAATGACCCTCTCCTATACCCTTGACAGAGCTAACACTAGATAGTCGATGCTGGCCTTTTTATTTCCACAGTACTTTATCGTAAATGGTGGCTATTCTGAAACAAATGACTAAAATTACGACTGGCGATACTGCCTCTAAAATACCTACCTTACCACATCACGAAGACAAAGTCTGCGAGGCTATATTTTCCTTAAATATCTATTATGTAATAATTATAATATGTTTATGAATGTTATTCCTTTGTTTGAGAATTGGACGTTTGGTTTATTTCTATTTTGGGAGGTCCATATTATTAGGAAGCGATATTAAAAGAACACGTAATTTGCCCAAGAGCGTCCCTTCCTAATACAACACTAAACACACATTAGGAAAGGAATGGTAACGATCCGGATAGTTTACCACCCGCCTCGGGCAATACAGCTACGCTCTCGGACACCGGCCATACAATACACTCTAATTAAAGAAAAACAAAACCCCAACTCTAACATAATGATACAATTATTTTGTTCGCAGATACACATTAAAATAACTCAATTAATATTTTAACTTCCAAGTATTTTTAATCCCTATTCCAATTTATATTTACATAACCCTGTCTTTCCTTTAAATTTCCATTTGCATAATTTGTAATAAATATAAAAAAAAATACTCTTAGCAGGAACTCTACGAGCTCTGAATCTTATTGCATTTATTAAACGTGATTTTTTTTTCAGCTGAAGGAGGAAGCTGCCACGTGCCGCTCGGGATGGAAAGTGGAATGATTTCCAACGAATCCCTCTCGGCAAGTTCCAGCTACGACCAAAGTGTTTCACCTCTCAGCTCACGGTAAAGTACTTATTTGCAAACTTTTTTCCGAACGCAGACTAATAGAATAACAATATCATAACGACACCTATTAATGCAGGTAATTGAAGGCACGCAGTTACTCAATTATAGTCTAGGAATGAGCACATATTCCCCCAAATCCGAAACAAATAACCCTTTAATCGATATAATGTCTTTAGCTGGCCATTGTTAAACAACAATAAAGCGCTATGATACGGCCAAGTTGTTACAATAATTGTGAATCCCCCAGCCGCAAAACGCTCATACTTAGCTCAAACAATTAACAGTGGGACCCACATTCGGGGCCTTAAGCCCGCATAAGCCCGAAGCGAGACAATAACGCGAAAACTCGACTCCTGTTTGAGAAATTCACTAACAGAAAATTAAATTTTCATATGAATTTGGAACGACCGTGATCCTACAAAAGCCTTTCGGAGCTTGACTCCCCAAAGATAACAAGATGTAAGTAGGACCGGCTCTGCCGAAGCCTTATCATCTGAGCCACTTTACATAGGGTCAGAGGCGATTTAGCAAATGCTACGTTAATTCAGCGCTTAGCGCGCTTTGTTCCCGCGCTACTAGTGATGAGATCACGCAAGATATTCTAATAGAGCTGCCACCAGACGGCCCGCGAGCCGAGTCCCACGTCGCTTGTCACGCGAAACACAAATGTTTCACTCTATTTACTTACATTATTACGTTAATTTTATTTGCTTATGCGTCAACGTGCCTTAGGCGTCTATTTATACATCTGCTGGTTAGCTAAGTAAGCGCAGGAATGGACTTAAAAACGTTGGTAAACCGACAAAAATATACGCTCGGCTGTGCTTTATGTCCACTTGTTGCTCGCTTATTGTGATGAATAAAAAGGAGCTTTGTACAGAAGTTAACCGGGACGCGTCTTTGCAGTATACGAACGGAAATCAAAGGGGGCGCTTGGTGTCCTAATGGGTTGATATCGCCCAAAAGCCGCCAGTTCCTGGAGATTGACCTACGTGACGAATACTTGATTACTGGCACTGAGTCCCAAGGCAGGTTCGCTAACTCCGTGGGAGTGGAATTTGTCGAAAGCTACTCTGTCGAATACTGGCGCACTGCTCTCAACCGATGGGTTAAATACAAAGACTTTAACGGAAGCCGGGTAAGTGACTACTTCTTCTAACATTTTCTTAATTTTATTCTGTTAACGGGATTTACTCTATGGAAATATAGAGATATAGGATACTCGTAGCAAAGTGGAGGCCAAATAAACTCAGCACCTCCTTTAATGTTTCTCATAAATTATTAAACCAAGCATTCCTTAATGTATCTCTTACTTTGTTAAAGTAGTCGGAATCTTTTAGCTCATAGACACAGAATGGAAAATTTATACTACAATTATGAAACACGTTGAAAGTTAAATAAATCATTTAATTTACTTAGCAATTAGGCACAAATCAGTACCCTCGAAGTTTTCCTTACATACTTCGGATCACAGGGAAGTTTCGGGCTCGTGCCGAAGACACAAGGCTCAAGTTACGTGAAATTAGTCCCAGAGCGGGTGCTTAGGTTACGCTCAACCAAACGGCACGAGTTCTTGCTAGTGTATATACATATTTATATGTGTAACTTCGACATAATAAACGACTTTTTCTAACTATAATATAACTACAAAATAAATAAAAATGAACAAAACGGAATCCATAGGCTATGTTTTTACTATTACTCGTACAACCATTTTAACATTCTGTAAGTAAAACACATGTTTGGTAAATAAATCACAAAATAATATTCCCACAAAAACTCTGCCAGAATTTTCAAACATGTTATGACAAACTGTTTCGCTCACCTGAACCAATCGCAATTTCGCATATCCTTACTTGACAATAAAAATGTCGAGCCCTCTCACTCAGTCTGTAAACAAACCGCTTTAGTGGTTAACATTTTTCAATTTCCCTTGATAAACGGTCCTACATAAAATAAAATGTTAAAACAAAACATGCGGCTCCACGTGAAATGACAAAAGAAGATAAACGATTTCATTTTCTTTGTAGTGCCGATGTCGTAAATATGTACAAAAATATTTCCACAGAGATGGATCTCACTCCAGTCCCGGTGCAAAGTGTTCACCCGTCCGTCAACGCCGAATGCCCCTTTTCCTTGTTTTTAAACATAGCTTAAGCGTAAACTGGAAGTGTACTTAAAAAACTTTGTAGCTTTTGTCAGTGTTCATTCTAATGTTCATTATTATTCGATGAATAGACACAACTCGTTTTCATTTTGTTTTATAACGAGTTTATATCCCCATTCTTGTTATTGTTATTGCAGTTGATATCTGGAAATGTGAACACCTACACACCCCGGAAATCAACACTCGAGGCACCGTTCATTGCGTCGAAGGTGCGATTTTTCCCGTATGCAGCACATCCACGAACGGCTTGTATGAGAGTGGAACTCTATGGGTGTCGTTGGAAACGTAGGTATAAGACGGATACGACTTATAATTGCTGATGCGTCCCGGGACAATGCAAAGCGACGTAATCTTTGCCACTGCTTACACACATTTTTGCGAATTTTGTACGTGCTCTGCGATAAAAAGCCGCCTTTGGGCGGTACATTCAATATACGTTCTTTGTGCAGAGGATGTAGTTGCGTACTCGGCCCCGAAGGGCGGGGATATGCAAGCAATGACCGGTGGCGCTCGGTTCGAGGACCTCGGCTACGACGGAACACTCCGAGAAGGCCGATTAATTAATGGTCTTGGTCAGATGACGGACTCCTTGTTAGGACCAAACGATTTTGAACTCCCGGATCAGTTAGATACAAGAGGTATGTAATATTTCGGTTTTCGATTTACACTTGACTATCGGGCGCCTATATGTTTTTATGATCTTAATATTTTACAATACAGTATAAGGAATTACTATAAACTATTATGTAACTGCGAATTCTGTCTGAAATCAATACCGTCGTGTTTTTCTTAGGATCTCGGTGGGTTGGATGGAACAAAACAATGTCTGTTGACGAAGAAGTCACTCTGACCTTCAACTTCAGCGAGCCTCGTCTGTTCTACCACATGGACGTCCACACCAACAACATGTTCACCAAGGACGTCCAGGTAATTATTTTGAATGCCTTTGCGATCGCCAATGCCAATAAAATATAATTAGGTTTTAAGTATAGGTATTAGAATTGTGTCAGTTGTTTGTATTTTAACTTACAGATAATAACGTATACATTTCAGTTATAATAAACGTTTTGGCATATCTTCCAGAAATGTGTGTAGCGAACTAACCTACAATTATAAGTCATTTCAATGTATACTTTCCTTTTTATCAGTTATTCAAAGAGGCCGAGGTATACTTCTCCCTAGAGGGAGAGCGTTGGCAGGAAGACTATGTGTCTCACGAACCGAAGCAGGACAGGGTGTCGGAGCACGCCCGGATCGTGCACATAGATCTGCAAAATCGCACTGCCAAGCATATCATGATGAAGCTCAGGTTCCAACATGAATGGATTTTAATCAGCGAAATCAGCTTCAAGTCTGGTAAGTCACTTACTTCACTTACAACAAACAAACCTGTATATCTACAAGCATCTACACAGAAATTTCTTTCCCATTACATTAATTACAACTCAAACCTCCGAAACATTCCTCCGGTCCGTAAACGTGTTTAATCTCGGTGTAAATTCAATGTACCTACTTAAAAAATAAATAAATCAACGCAAACGGCAGATAATTTGTTGGGTATTCGCAACTGATTTTGGGTAGTCCAAATCAGCGCTCAATTCGCGGGATAAACATCTTTCGCAATCACGAACGGGAATCTGGTACAGTTTATCGAGCACATTTTTTTGTACAAAGAAATTGTTCAAAAGTAAAAGTGAACTGACAATATCTCGACTGGATGATTTTTGACTGGGACACAATGAGCGGCAATCGCACAGGAGGCTCTACTTATAGATATATTACTCCTCAACGGGCCCTCCTTATCAGTTCAGAGCACTCGCAAGCCTGCGGCTATTTCACAAATTTTATCGTTCTCTAATTAATCCACAGCTCTTTTGAGGAAATCGTCTCTTAAGTGATAAATCGCCGCCCGCTAAATGAAGAACTTGTAATTAAAGAAAATCTTTGATCTGGATTATTTCGTTCCCCCAATTATATTTTGAGGAGGCTGTGACGCGTTGCCGCCACTCTCTGAGATATTATCCCAATGAAAATGGATTTTGAGCAATATCGGCGGCCCTTTGAACACACAATGTGTAGTACTGTTCAACTTTACGAGAGCGGAGTTCCATAAAATCGTGATTTAATTTCGGTTTCTTACAAAAACCTTTTACAAGGTTTAATTAAATAGAACATTGTGTTATTTTTATTTATACGGTTGCAACATAGATATTCCTGATAGTCATAGTGTTCAAAATTAGCAATTAACAAAAAGTGATATGAACTCTTAATAAAATTACAAGAACTTGTGTGAAAATAAATTTCAAGATTTGAATGACGTAGAACAATAAAGCGCAATGATGTACCGCCGCTTCAACCTGGAGCAGAAGAGGGGCAGTTTTTCATCAGCAAAATGTTGATATACCCTCTCATCGTGCCCAGGGTGGGAGCAGGCATTTGATGATTTTTTCCCACAAAAAAAAGACTGGACTCTAAAAATGAAGGTTGATTGAAAAATGCTTGAAATTTTCCTTCACGATTGGTAGACATTTTTGAAAAGTAACTATCATAAAACATTCTAAATTTGAAAATAACGACTTGAAAGTAATAGAGGTTCTATCTGTTTATTCCCGTGATTATTATGTTATTATTTTCAGTAAACATACTAAGCAAGGCGACGAATAAAGAAGCGATAAACAGCAAAGCAGGCTTACAAAATCAAAACAAATATCGAATAAATCATGACGAAAAATCGTTCCAACTTTGTTATTATGATAATAATTATAAGTCATGTTAGCTAACGGCTACCTGTTAGATATACGTATAGAACAGTCAAGTTTTGAACATAATTACGCCGGCGGTGGGGCGATGTGCGGGCTTTCTGAATCATCATTATTCCTAATCTGCCCCAATTAGGAATCCGTACAAGTATCGTGATACGTGTCTAATTACCGGAATGGAAAATAAGTAAAGTACCGTCTTTTGTCCGCTTATCATCCACTCATCGATCCAACTTCGTAAAGATATATCGGGCTTCCTATTCAATCTAAATCATCCACTAGATCAAACAAATAGCATTAAAAGTCATTGTTTATTCCTATGTAAACGTAAGTAATAGTCTCACATAGCATAAATGTTTATAAATTTAATTTAAATAAAATAATATTCGTTATTATTTTAATGCAAGTGAAAGAATGGTAATACCAGCGTGAAAGCTGCACCTTTTTAGCTTATTACCTACTTACTGGGACTTATATTTTCACCTTCATTTTAAAAAGAATACCTATCTTATTTCAGTGGCTTGCTCGGTCTAACTAGAATCTTAAAAGGCCATTGACCCCACGCCGTCGGGGATTTAGCAGCCCAAAGTGAAAATTTTCTTAATATCTTCTATCGTAATATTTCGGAAAGTCAGAAATATGAACATAGTTTCTGAGAATTCATTATGAAAAGAAAATTCCAGGCTTAAAAGGCAATCCGTAACGAATACGTACTTTATCCCCAGTTGGTTGAAGAAGTATATTATATAATCATAAAAATCAAAGCTTCTCAAGAGATTGTATAATTTCGTTGTTTGTTCGAAAACACAAAACGGGCATCTAAACGCACTTATGTACGTAAAACGACGTTTTCACAAACGCTTTTATATTTGAAGGAAATATTCGAGACACGTAATCCATTAGTAAATATGTTAGGTAATATATATAGAGGCCTTGTGAATTCGATATTAGCCTTGTAATATGACATACATACATACACCACGTAGATGTACAATTATTAAATTATAATAAATAAAATAAATAAATGACAAATTGTAATGAACCAGTGCCGGTGTTTTATTATTTTTTCGCGGCTGTAATTACTCGTCTCTTGTAACAATCCAATATCGTTTGCCGCTAAAATACGTCAAGCGCCTACTGCTACGATGCACGAAACTACTACCTAACAAACTCGGCAATTATGTCAAAACAAATCACACTGAATAAAAAAAACATAATAACAAAAGTAGTACCGAATTCTAGATACTAATTTACAGTATTTCCTCATACTTCGTATGAAAGTTTACCGCAATAAATATAACAGTTTATTTATCTTGCGCGACCGGACACCATTCCTGCAAGTCTCGTTTTAGGTTCTATTTCTAGACCTGCAACCGTGAGATACACTTCATTAAATGTACAATTTGAAATTAGCGCTGAATTAACCGACTCTTGGCACCTTCTGAGCATTACACTGGCACTTCGCCATTTTCGTTAACCTCAGTTTTAGTTTAGACCCAGTTTTGAATCACTCTAAAATTCAACCTATTTCCGAATATCTATAAAATTCAAATTTGATAGTTCACAACTTTTATGGTGAAAGTTGATACGAATGCGTGTTTTATGCTCCATTGCAGATAAACGGTAGATATGGGATTTGATTTTGTTTCCGCCAGAAATGTTGAATCGTAAAGAAAATAATTTAAAATAGTTCCTAAAAATAATTACATTTTGAGAGCCATTTAATGAATAAATCTCCTGTACCAAAGCTAAACCTATTAAGTAAAACCCAAAACTATAAATGCACAAAAACCGCCAACAAATCTAAGACTCGTTGTCTGAGGGTTGAGAACTGTCTGAGGGCGGCATTTCTTACTAAATTCCCTCCCATTATAAAACAACAATTAGTCCTGGTCTCGACATCTATTCATTTTCTCTCATTGTTTTAGTCTTGCGTGGAGGCTGAAAGCGAATTTCATTCACAATATTCCCTTTTAATGCATTTTCTTTTTGTTAACAGTTCCAACCTGGGTGAACACCTCAGCCGAGTTCCTAGAAGAGTATTACAGGAGTGATATTCCACCGTCATCTAGGAAGAAGAGAAACTCATCCCTGAGGGTCTCAGTGGGTCTAGCTTGCGGCGCCCTAGTAGGAGGAGGGGCGTTTATCGCAGGAACAGTGGTCCTCCTAACTAAAAAGACCAGGCGAAGAATACCAAACGTCTTAAAGAAACCGTTTTGCCCATCTTTAAGGCACGGCAGCTCGAGTTCTAGGAACAATCGTAGGACACCGAGACTTGCCCTCGCCCTAGCGAATTGTCCTCCGATACACATGCTAAGGTAAGCATACAAATAAATAAAAGAATTAATGCATGCGTTTACCAAGCTCAAACTAGCACTACAATTGACGATCAGGTATCTATAAAACCTATAAAAATATCCAGATTTGTAGTTTACACACAAACAATAAAGGTATGCATACAATATCGGTTCAACAGGCTCGTCAACAAAGCCACGTTAAATTATTTACCTATCTACTGCAACAGAAGTAATGGGACAACAAACCATTACACAGATTAAAAAAAACAAAGTAATTCAATTAGTCGGGCTTTAGGGGAACTTTAAACAATCGTACGTGATAATAAAATAGGTTATTTGTGTGCAGACCGGCAGTCGTCGACGAGGATTATAGGGAACCGTACAACATTTGGAGGGAAACCCTGGGCCGTCGGGACAAACGGGAGTCACATGATCAACACGAGTACAACGGTGAGTGCCACACTATTTTATACCTTACCACACATAATTGTATGAACCAAAATTATTCTTGGTCGATATATCATGTTGGGGGAATGACCTATCAATAATACATTTTTCGAGAGACAACTAAAGGTTGGTCCACATTAACGTTCCTCACGATAAATGTGGACGGCAATTGTTATTGTCATTCCATTTCAACTGTGATGGAACTCGGGCATTATGCCGTAACTGTGATCGGGCTCGCCTCTGCAGAACGTCATTAGGTTGCTGTAAAAGCCATGTCATTTTGATTCGATATTTACAAAATCATTTGCGGCATGAGATATTTTTGGTTAGAATATGATTTTTCATTAGTTACTAATTTGACCGCAAAGATTTGAAACTCAGCGGTGATGAAGAATTAGTTGAGACAGAAGCTGTGACCCACTTCGATGTCAATAATACGACTCAACATTTTTGCAGTGAAGTTATGCCTTTATACACATCCAATGTTCGAGTCCGCGCGTCCGCAGCTTACAAATCATCTAACTTTAAGTCCTACTTTTCGAAGTAGATATGTGACTGTATTTTTATTAGTGCTCACAATACTTTCACAAAGTTATGTCATAACACGTAATGTATGACCACATTTGTAAGATATATATAGAAAACAAATTTGTCTTTTTCATCTTTAATTCTCTACGAAAACTATTTCTTCAGCTATAAACTAATAGTATAAATATTCAAAGGAACCCCGTACGTACGACGGCCGTAAATCAAATATTCTTATTTAAACAATACTAGTAAAATAGCAATATATTCGGTACGTGATGTAGCAGCACAAAGTCTACAGAAATAAAAAGATAAAACAATATATATATACGACACAGGAGTTGTAAAGTACAATAAAGTCGGGGATATTAAATCCGTAGAGAGCTGACCCTAATTGTAAATATCTGCTTTTACAAATGAACAAACTACTACGGGCTATTTTTTTCTCAATAAACAAGGGTTGATCCCCATGTGGCTGTATATAACTAAACATGAACATAACTTTCAATGACAAATTTATAATGACATATCTATTCCAGTTAGAGATTGTGAATAGTTATATTTATTCGTTACTAGTCCACTGAACTAGGACAAACTGTAACAAGCTTGAACTAGCTGCTATAAACATCGATTAAAGAACAATGCAAACGTAGCAAAACGTTAAAAACAAAAGCATGTTCACAAAAATCGCTAAACGCTTTTGAAATGCTCCGTACACAGCGTGTTTGTGGTCGCTAGCGGTGTTTTTTCCGACTAGCACTAGTTAGCTCGCCTGCGACGCTCGACTCACCACTCGACTGCACTCGTTAGGTTTACGAGTGCACTTGCCCCTAGATTGTTACTTTTCCCTCGCTCTCCCTATACCAGAGACTCTTATACGAATAGCTTGAAAATGAAACGACCTAATGATTTTCTTAAGTATACATTTTTAGAAAATAAACGCGACGTTCTGACGAATGTTAAGGAAAACGCAATGTATTGCTATCTGATGAAGGATAACGAGTTTTTTGCTCGACCCCCGAAAGTTTGTTATCTTTTGTGATATTTCATTTTCACTCGTACAATTTGACAATGATAAAAACTTAAACAAATTTTGCGAAGCCCTATTTTTAAACTCGATAACGTTTATATTTTAAGTCAAATAATTCGACCGCCGACATTCTAGCAAACTGAAATTCGAACATTTAGACACTGGCCAGCCCCTTTAAAAGAAAATTCAAGATACGTGCTCGTTACGGGCGGCCGGATGTCCGGCCGGAAAGCCGGCCATTGTTCAGAGGCCATATTGAAAAGATGATGCGCCCCGAGCACAGGATAATAGGTCTCAGGTTCGTGTATCTGTAGAAGAATGTGGGGGAGAAAATAGTGACGGGTTTTTGGTCAAAAATACGAATTATCTGTGACTTTGACTGACGTTTCAAGCGCGAGGCGTCCATCCGTGGCGCGGTTGAACGTTCCATTATTATACTAAACCGGGCCGGGATACGGATGACGGCCATATTTTTTCGTAAAACATATTCGTGTCGTGCTGACGTTATCAAAATGTGGGTTACACCTTGAATGTTGTTGTTGTTGTTGTTACAATGGAGCCCTGATTGGTGTTGTTTTTGTACAGAAATCTGCGAGGACACCGAGTTCCCGAGACCCTACATGATGAAACGACCTGATCCGCATGAAAGTTTTTACGCTGCCACTGACATAATACATCATGTAAGTAGTTACTTACTAATTTATTACTTCTAGATACTTACGTTCATCGTAAATTGACTAAGAAGAATAATCTGATCGCAAGACAATATTGCTTTAAGTATTTTTTCCGAAATGATGAACAATATTACACATTTACAAGTAAATATTTTCCTATTAGGAGAATAAATATCCGTAATACAAAATTGAAAAATAAACAGCATCTGAAACTGGATCCAATCATTCTCGCCACGCCGATAACAAAACAATTGGAACTGCAATCTTACTTAGCATACCGCATTACTTTGAATCAATATTAGATCATTGGGTGAATCTATCCCAGTTTGCTATTCCGCTAATCCGCTTCACAGAATAGAATCGGAATTGACAATTATTTCACATTAATCAATGTAACGATCGATAATTGCTTATTTCATTATTCGATTGCATCGACAGTCGATAATCGCATTGGTTTAAATTGAAGTTTGTCGTGTAATTAACATCGTGTGATCGTGGAATCGAATGAACTGTGTCGCTTTGTCTCCTAGATAAATTTAGGTAGACAATCGGACAGTCCGAATGACAATTTCGAATGTGACAGCTGTACTTCAAATTTTGATAAAAACAGGAATGCAAGCTAGTTAATTGGTTTTGGTGATTCGAGTACATCACACACGAATATTGGATTGAATTCTTTGACTAGATAGAGCAATATTGCGCTATCAATCATACACATCACAATTTTAGGTGCAAGAAGTCAAGTATTTAAACGATGGGCATATTTGGTAGTGAAATTACATATATCTCCTATAAAGTACTAAAAAATATATACTTTATTTAGAATTATTATATGAAAGATACGTGTGTATATCCTAACAAACATAAGCTTTCCCAATTCCTTATGGCAAGGTTAACTTACAGGGACTAGTGGGTAGTCTTAATAATCAGAAATAGATCAAACTTTTTCATTAGAAAAGCAATGACGTAAGAGCGGAGGCGTGAAAATAACGTCACTACGTCCTCCATACGCCTTCACCTTCAACGATCATGTTTACCCCGACTGCCCTATGAGCAGAGATAATCTTATAATGGTCGGATATTTTTGTCACAGGATTGCTACATTTTGCTTTCTCGATATAAAAACTTGACAAGAAACCTTAATCCTCGTCGTCTTGAGGTGTGAGTAAATGTCTTCAAAAAAGGCATATTCCACACTCTAGAGTACCCGATCTACGCTCAAATTTAATTCTTTAATCAAATTCAATTTTATTCCTTATTAATATAATGTGAACATAAAAAACTTTCTAATCTAAGTCCCGCGACACCCATTCGCACTTTCCCAAAGTCGGTCGAGTTGTATCCGAGTGAATAATTTATTATGTTACCAGCGTATTGAACGCATTCCTCCCACCTCCTCGCATTAGCCCCATATTCTCCACTCAACATGCATATCGCATCGCCTCACAGTTGATTTCAGTTCTTGTAGATATCAATTAAATGTTGTATCTAATAAAGACGTTGTCATTACATTGACGGGCTTTATAAAATTGCGTTCCACTTGCAGATCAATGTTCATTTTACTTAGAAAATTAAACGAATTAACTGACCAATTTGACACTGGTTTTCTGTGATCCGTTAAGATGGTTGGTAGTTTTTTTACAAATAACAATCCAATGTTTAATATATAATCACTACAGCCATATACATATGACTTAATAAAAAGAGTTTGCGGTAGTTTAGTCATTAAATTAGAAGAGATATGCCGATAAAAAGAGGAATACACACTCAGAAGATCATGTTACTTGACAAACAATAAAATAGTTCCACTAAAGTTTGAATAATTTATTTTAATTTCAGTCATTCCTGATATAGGGTTTTAATCTAAAAGGGCATTCCCGATTTATTTTCAGGTAGGCTAATGTGTTTTCATCTCGATTGATTTTTTCCAATGATTAAAGCCAAATATAATTTGATTTTATTTGAAGGTAAATTAAATATTTGGTCTAATTCTCCTTGACGGAATTTCGATGAAATGATAAGCCGATTGGAGAGAAAGCCTTATACGTTTGATTGGAAACATGTAGGTGTAATGTTGGATGGTAAAAATACTCGTAAGGTTTACTCAAACAGGTAAAGTATAGTATTGTGTAGGCTCGGAGGATCGCAGGCTGATTTCCCTGGGGAGGACGCGCGGTCACACGGCGCGCGCCCGACGTAAAACATACCAATTGAACATTAATACGTAATGAACATTATTTAGTTAACGTTCAGTTTCGCCGACTTTTCTCTTCGGAACAGTATCTAAACATAATTATAGTATGTTTACGTTTGTTTGGTTAACCTGTGTGCTCGGATATCTTTTGCGTAAAGTTGCATTAGCCAAACAGGTTAGCAACTACACTCAACTAATCTGACCGCTATCAGCTCTACCACGAATATCGAGCCAAAACCGGGGTTGTAAAATCGCAATCGTTATTTGAAAGTGCGACCGACTAACGGGAATTCGGCCACCGCACATTATCGTGGCGTGGCTCGAACACGTCACAAAACACCACATCCTAACCGATGCGATGACATCCGAACTAACACGACGAGCTCTCGTCCTCGTTTGCGTAAATTCAAAACCGACCAATTCGAAATAGGTGACTGATGTTATGATGTTAATGTAAAGTGTAGTACACAATGTGAATGAAAAGATACCGGCTACAAGTAACGCAATATATGCTACGCAGGTGCTACGGCACTGCTACGAGTTCGTAGCAGTCTGAAAAAGTTTGTTAAAACACGAATACTAAATTTATTTGATAATCACATGAATCTGGACCATAGATTTAGAGAGGGCCATGATTAATTTTATCAGATTACTGTCTATCCAAAGGTTGGCTGGTAGATATCACTGTCAACGATAAGACCGCTCATTGCAGATTTAAGTTTTCATCTTATTCCACAAGCTGTGTTAAAATGTTGTTTACTTTAACACTTTTTTGATTGGTTTGCATTAAAAATATAATTGAAATTATATAATGTTTAAAATTATTACCATTATTATAATTTGTCTACAACTTATTTAAGTTATTGTTAACAATCCCAACTAAACTCTCATAAGTATCTAATACAGAATATTAACAAAATGGATCACAAAATCATATAATTATATTCTCCCACACAAAGTATATTGACTTAATATTTTGTTTGTTTACGAATAATAAAATGAACATGCGTACACAAAGCCCTAAATAAATTCTAATACATTGGAAAATAAACTTTATCGCAAGCTATTAATGATTAGATCTACTTTCGGCAAAAACAATGACGTTGTAAACCACAGACTATAAATAAACCTGTTGTTTACTTAATGGAATCAGAAGGATTCAGGTGTACATAATCTATTTAATAATATAATGTCAGGTTTCTGCGTAATAGAACTTTCCCGTAATGGTTTGGCGACAGAACATAAACGTATACTCGTCCAATATAAACTGACCTCCATCTTAGCAACAAGCAAAAACAGAAAGAGCTCTAATACATAATGATGTGACGTCCATATAATTATGTAAAAGGTCACCAAGGGTTGGACGTGTGGAAGCTATTTTGGTGTACAATACAAGATGTTAATTAATGTTATTAATTACAATAGATGTACAATATGTGTATGTTGGATTTAATCTTATCACTCACCAACAAACGTAATCCTTATTGAACCTAATATGTATAAATACATAAGATATAAATTGATTTGCACTAGATCTACATACATAGTGTTTACAGTTACTCCTCTTGCTTGTTCATGGCAATTATTCCTTCGAGGACATGAGTAGTGAACTGGAAACCTTATGTTCTAATTACATCCTGTGATCAGTCCACTATCTACATAATATAGTATATAGAAGAACCTTGTATTGTTATATTCATTAATACCTACCACAGTTCTAAATAGTTAATTTGAAAATGATTATCTTGCGTATTAAATTATTCTAGTGTAGATAACATGAATTAACGATTAGGTAATTAGTTAAATTATTCATAAATGCCAATCACTATCACTGACATAGAATTGAGTGGAGGCACTTCGTGATAATGGCTGTGATTGGCGCGTCAAATGGATACAATCGAGCCTCGACCGTTACTCGATCATTGTATATTAAATACTATTAATGTTAGAAATGTAAAAGTTTTAAGTATAAATGAATGGTTTCTTATTCTCTCACGCTTAAACTACTGAACGTATCTGAGTGAAATTTTGAATGGAAATAGATTTGTAATCTAGAATAACACAAGTTACTTTTCATGTCATTAGAGCAGACGAAAAGTCTGTCAGGAGGATTTAATCATCCTTCCCTACAAATTGCTTATTTTATAACACAAGTTTAGTGTTTATTTTCTACTTAATTGTTCTATTTGATAGAAGAAAATCGATCACAGTATAAGTAAATTGTGTTACAAAATTTTCTCATAATATTTTATTACTAGCTACTCTCGCGCGGTTTCACCCGCAGCTCGGCTCCATTTAATGCTAGCGTGATGTTTTATAGCCTATAGCACTCAGAAATATTGTAGCTTTCTATAAGTGAAAGAATTTTGGAAATCCGACCAGCGGTTCCAAAGATTACCCCCTACATACAAACTTACAAATTTTACCTCTTTATAATAATATAGTATAGATAACCAATAAATATTTATTTACTTTAAAAAATAAAAAACGTTTCTCACACATTTTGCTTTTATTAGATTTAAACGAATAAAAATAATTACTTACCAAAGATTTATTTGCTCTTTCTAAACGTATAAATAAAAAATAGCAAATTTAATAAAATAACTTTAGAGACGTGTACATGCATTTGATAGCCCAGAATATTGAACTACGAAAATTCCCAGACGATTGTTGGCAGTTCTATCAAACGATACATATTTCTGTTGATATCGATTCAAATAAATTTAGTATGTTTCATACCCTGCTCTGAAATTGCGACGCGTTCTAATAACTAGGGTTGCTTTAAAAATTCTTGTAATAGTTAGTAATATTT